AGTCACATGGTTCCGGGTAGTAGGCGGTGCGCGCTGGTGCGACGTCAACGCAGCCGGCTAAGTTCCCCTGACCTGTGTACTGCGGTCCGGCCCGGCTGAGTCCTCCGAGGGGCCCTGGTCGGGCGGTTTGCTGGCTACTTTTGCAGCCGCTATGGACAACTCCGGAAAGGAAGCGGAGGCGACGGCGCTGCTGGCCGAGGCCGAGCGCAAACTGAGAAACTCGCAGTCCTTCTTCTCGGGCCTCTTTGGGTAAGAACCGCACTGAGGATCGGCCGGGACCTAGGCTGAGAGGGACGAAGGACTGGCTTCTAGAGGACGGAGGGATTTCCGGATGAGGAGCCCTGGTCCAGGGTAGCAGAGGAGTCACAATCTGAGGGCCAGGGTGACCAGGCTGTGTCAACACGGTCTGAGGATAGACACTGAGATGGCGGAAGGGCTCTGGGCTGAGGACACCTAGGCCGTGGCGACATCATCATGAGGTTGCAAGGGGACCCAAGCTAAAGGGGGACGGAGGAGAACCTGGGCCGAAAGCATGTGGTCTGAGGCCTTGAAGGGGACCGGCCTGAGCGGGTTGAGGGAACCTGAGAGAGCACCGAGGGCCAGAAGCCTTTGGGAACTGTAGGAGAACCTGTCCGAAGAATCCCAGGCCGGCGAGATGGGGCTTGGGGAGCGATTTCCAAGGCCTGTGGCGGTGGATTTGCATGAGCGCTGGGTGATGTGGGCGAGGGTGTGGGGCGCAGGAAATCCTGGGAGTGATGAGTTCAAGCGTGAGGTGTGTGAGGTGCCTGGGGCGAGTATGTTAATAGTGACCAGTGTCGGAGGACCTTACACTCATGAGCTCTGAGCAGAGGATCCCTGGGTGGTGAACTCAGACCGGAGCCCTGGGCGGAGAGGCTGGAGAATGACATGGGGTGGGGGTATAAGTGATGCTGACTTTGTGTAGGAGCTGGAGGGATGAAAGAGAGAGGTGAGGGAGATGCGAAAACCAAAGGGAGCGGGAGCCCTGCTGTGCGATCACTGAGAAGTGGTCCGGCAGTGTGAGCAGGATGACCATGGTGTGCTGAGAAAGAGGCCTGAAGGGGTCCGACTCTACACTGTGCTGGACGTTTCACACACGATTGGTCTTAGCTCATAAAAGTGATGACCATCTTTTGAGGAATCTCCGTGGCTTACAAGTGTCAAATGCCTGAGTTTGAAGTGTGGCTCTGCCACTTATTTCATGAGCTTAGGCAATTTTCCTGTTGAAAGGGGAACGCCAGTAAAACTCACCTCAGAAGTTGCCACTAGCGTTGAATAAGAGTGCATATTAAAGTGTTTAGAGTTGGGCTTGGCACAAGGTTAGCTTGAAAGGTGTAAGGAATCATCAGTGTTACTTCCAGGAAGGAAACAGGTTTGGAACCTGTACTGGGAGGGGTGATGGGGACCGGGGTGGGAGCCTTGGGGAGACGTGTGGGCAAGTCAGGAAGGAGAAGCTGAGTGTGATAAGAGGAGCTAAAAGGAAGTGAGGAAGGGACTCTGGGCCCTGGGGACTTAGTCAAGTTAGGGGATGGGGCTTGAGGTCCTGGGCAGAGGAAGAAGAGAGCCAGAGAGCCCAGAGGACAGGGCAGGGTTGGATTGTTCTTAGGACTGAAAGGACTGGAGAGGGGCAATGGGTTTGTAGAGTTAGGAAGAGCTGGTGGAAATGAGGCAACAGAGGGAGGCAGAGACTGGGAGACGCTGCAGGACTTGGAGAGTCTCCCAGAAGGCCAGGGATGCGGTTTGAGAGGAGGGCCTGGGGCCCTGGCCGGTTTGGCTCAGCGGTTAGAGCGTCGGCCTGCGGTCCGGAGAGACCCGGGTTCGGTTCCCGCTAAGGGCACGTACTTCGGTTGCAGTTTGTCCCCGGTCCTGGTTGGTCGTGCGGTGGCAGCCATTCGATGTGTCCCTTTCACATCGATGTTTCTCTCTCTCTCTTCCTCTCTCTCCCTCCCACTCTATCTGTACAGAAAATGGAAAAATGTCCTCGGGTGAGGATAAAAATATATATATTTGCCCTGGCCGGTTTGGCTCAGCGGTTAGAGCGTCGGCCTGCAGTCCTGAGAGGAGGGCCTGGGGACTGAGAGAGAGATGCTAGGAGGCTGGAAAGAATTGAAGGGGAAGGTTCTTTCCAGGAGAGGAGACACACACACACACACACACACACACCCTGTTGTTATTTGAGGTTGGATAATGTTTAGCAAAAGGACTTTAATACCATGGCTGAAATTCACTGGTGTGGAGAAACATCCAGGCTGATGTATTGATTAGTGAGGAATGGTTTAGAGGCTGAGAGGTGAGAGAGGATATGTGTGTGTTTCTTCTTACTTCACAAGGGAAGAATCAAGTGCAGTGTTTTGGGGTGGGGCCAAGAGCTCAGTTTTCAGCCAATAGATTTACTGGGTGGCTTTTGGTGTCTGGTCTCTTTGGACTGAGGATCAGTGAGTGTACTTACTGTTGGGCTGTGCTTGGAGAAAGCAACTAAGTCAACCTCTGAGACATTTGTCACCTGGTTGGGAAGGCAAGTGAAGGGGCGCAGAGTTTGCCATCCCAAAATATGCCTCTTTGGGATATTGGTTCTTTTAGGCCAGTTAATTATAGGAGAAACTTTGAAAAGCCAGTAGAAGCTAGTTCAGTTACCCTTATAAAGGACTTTTACATTTGTATGGGAGTCTGTACTGTACCAGGCCTGCTTTCACTATCTGGTGGAGAATGTAGAGACTTAAATCTGTATAACAATCTTAGCCTTGTTTACTGTGTTTTCCTGGTAACCTCCCATAACTGACTCTCCACCCCCTACATCTTTTGTCTTTAGCTGAAGGTGGTATTTAACTTGATGGCTTAGGCCTTTTTGGCAAGTTACTTAGTGTTCCCAGGCATACAGGAGATGTGCATGTTATTAAACTTTAATTTGTTTTTCTCTTGCTAATTTGCCTTATGTCAATTTGATTTTTATGCCAGCCAGAAGAACCTCTAAAAGTAGAGGAGAATGTTTCTCCGCAACTAAGATTAACACTTGGCTAATGCTAGTGAAACAAAAGTTGTCAGATGTAACTAAGGGCTAGATGATGTCATTTGTGTGAAGTTCCTGAGCTGAGAGGAAGCTGCACCATAGGAAGGAAGGCTGTTGGTGAGGAATGAGCTGAGATCCAGGGAACCCCAGGACTTGCTATTGGGGTAGCGGGGGCCTAGAAGGGTGTTCTAGGCAGCGGGAATTGTTCAGCAAAGGTGTGGCGTGAGGGGAGGTTCTGTCGGGAATGATGGGGAACCGAGATCCAAAGGGACCCGGGATGGCTTTCCAGAGGAGAGGCCTCCCTCTGGGAAGATGAACAGGAGTTCTGGGGGTGCCCTCTGGTGGGGGAGCACTGCTCCAGGCAGAGGGGTAGCTTGAGGAAGGCCAGGTGTGTGAAGTTTAATTCCGGGAGTTCCATTCTTAGCACCTGAAGTTCGAAGGGCAGAAGCGGGAGGGAAGCTCAGCAAGGAGAGGCAGTGGGAGGGAGGGGGCTCTTCCGAAAGGCCTTGGGCTGGAGCTGCCCGAGTGTTAAGGGTCTTAAGGAGGAGTTCTGTCTTAGTCTGTTCAGGCTGCTACCCCAAAACACCATGGCCGGGGAGATTACAAACAACAGACACGTATTTCTCCTAATTCCGGAGGATCATGGTGCCAGCAGATTTAGCTCTGGTGAGGACCCTCTTCCTCATAGACAGCGTCCTTTCACTGTGTCCTTGCCTGGTGGAAGAGGTGACCTAGCTCTCTGGGGTCTCTTTTTTTAATCCTCACTGGAGAATATTTTCCCATTTTTCTTCAGATAGAGTGGGATGAAGGGAGAGAGAGAGAGGGAGAGAGAAACATCCATGTGAGAGGGACACATTGACTGGTTGCCTCCTGCACAACCCCGGCCAGGGCCGGGGACAAACCGCAACTGAGGTACATTCTGTTGATGGCAATCGAACCCGTGACTCACTGGTCCTCAGGCAGATGCTGTAACCACTGAGCCAAACCGGCCAGGGCTCTTGGGTCTCTTTTATAAAGGCACAGAATCACCCCGAGAGGCCCCACCTCCTAATACTATCACCTTGGAGGTTAGGATTTCAACACATGAATTTAGGGGGGACACAAACATTCAGTCCGTAGCAGGGCCAGTCCTGGAGGGTTCCCTTTGCCTTTTAGGAAGGACTGAGCAGCTGGTGGGGGAGCGTGAAGGTGGTGATATAAATAATTGCAGATAGTGTTTATTAGTGCTCGCTCTGGCTCCGAGCCAGGCTGGGCAAGGCACCTTATCTGTCCCTCACACTGAGTCCTCGCAGCATCCCCGTGGAGGTGGGCAAGTTCAGACTTAGAGAAGTTGAGGTACTTGCCCAGTCCCCCAGTAAATGGGATCCACGGTCAGACCCAGGCCTGTCTGATCCCAGAGCCCTCTCTCCACTCCACTTAGTTTATCTTGAGCTCAGACCCACTTTGGGCACTAAGGATGTTGGCAAACTAAGTGTCTTAGGGAGCCCCTTCCTTCTGACTCCTCTCCCTCCTCACCCCACTTGGCAGTTTTTTTCCAACATTTCCAAGAAAGAGCAGGTGTATCCATCCCTGCCCCTTCCAGCTCCAAGAGCAGTTTGGGTGGTGCTGAGGTGGGCGTGAGCCAGGCCAGGCAGAGTGCAGGGACACGGATGGAGCCCTGCCCAACTGGAACCTGTCTGTCTGAGGGAGTACAGCGAGGGGTCAGCCCTGGCCTCTGGAGCCGGGGTTGCCTGTGTTCAACATTTCACAACCCCCCCTTCACAGTGCCCTCGGTGGCTTCGAAGGAGAGGGTGTTGGGGCTCAGCTGGTGCTGCTTCTTCCCCTTTCAGGAGTCTCAGCAGTGACAGCTCCCGTCAAAAGGGCCAAGTAGGATGGCCCCACCCGGGATGTGGGGCAGCCCCATCTCTTTGGATGTTAGGGTTTTCTTTGCTTTTCACTATTTCTGGGCTTCCAGACGCTAGGGGGCTTTGGTGTACTGGGCTCCACCCAGCCAGTCAGGAAGTAGATCCCAGTTCGTCTGTACCTTCCCTCCTGCTCCCTCCTCTCCCTTCCCGCCAAGTCCCCAGCTGGGCAAAGGCACCTGGGGAGGAGGGGGGAGGAGGGGGGAGCAGCCCAAGCTTCTCTGAAAGCAAGAAGTGGAGGTTTCCCAAGGAGAGCCCAGTGAAACTGCAGAAAGGGACCGGCAGGGTGAGCACACTTTCTTCCCTCCTGCCGTGTGTCTCCCTCGATGTAGGTGTGTGTACACTTCCCTGCTGGGCCCCCTGCGGCTTCCCTCCTCCCTCAGTCTTCCCCTTACTCCCCAATCCAAAGTACAAACTGCTTTCCACTTGGTGAGCAACCTGTATAGGAAGTTTCTTCATGTGTGAAATGAAAACCACAGTAATCGCTACTTTATGGGCTGTTTAAGGAATAAATGAGATTGTGTGTGTAGAGTGGTGAGAACACAGTGCCTGACGCTGGTATGTGCTTATTAAGTGCTTGCCATTGTTGTTATTATTTATTAGAATTGGAGCTGGAGGCCATGGAGGAAAAAATGGCAGTGTGTTCTGTATACAAACACACAGTCTCTAAAGGTCAAATGTTGAGAAATCAGTTCCTGTTTGAACTGCCTGTAGGTGCCAGCAACCCCAGGAACCCTGGTGCGCGGCTTTCTGAGGGAAGACTTGCTGCCGAGTTCGGAGACAAGACCCACCAAGCCCTTAGCTGAGCTGGTGTGGGAATAACAGCTTCTGGCTTTGCTTCCAGACTGCCTTCCACCCAGAGAGCATGCAGAGACCCCTGCCACCATTTCTGGCCACACCAGTGGGTTCCAGATGCCCCGCGAGCTGCCAAGACCTGCAGCGGAAAACTTGGCAGGTCTTGCCCAGTCTTTCCTAAAGGGACACAAGGATTCCGGGTATTTCAGCCATAATTGTGCTGCAGTTGAGGGTTCTGTCCTCCATGATGGATGGGACTTTGCTGCCTGATCAGGCAGTTTCAACGCTTCTGTTTGGGAGGGGGCTACAGAGAGGCTAGGTAGGGTCTTCCAGAAACATCTTTCAAGAAAAGGAAACATTTAGCCTGGCCAGTGTGGCTCAGTGCTTGTGCGTTGACCCATGGACCAAGAGGTTGCCAGTTCGATTCCCAGTCAGGACACATGCCCAGGTTGTGGGCCCGATTCCCAGGGGGAGGCATGCAGGAGGCAGCCAACCTATGTTCTCTCTCATCGATGTTTCTATCTCTCTCTCCCTCTCCCTTCCTCTGTCTCTAAAAAGTCATTAAAGAAAAAAAAGAAAAAGAAAAGGAAACATTTAGGTCTTTGGCTGGGATGAAGTAATCTGTTGGGGTGTAGAGGGCATCGGTATAGAACCACAGGAGCGCCTGCCAGACCTTGTGATAGGCACAGTCCCTGCCTTTGAGTTTACAGTCGAGGGAACAGCTCGAGGTTAGGGGTGGGGTCCGTGGAAGGAGGGGCCGCACTTAGCCAGTCTGGGGTGGCGGAGGTGAGGCCCATGCTGAGATGTTGAAGTAGGAAAACACATCTAGAATCTATTCTCTTTGCCAGTTTGATAAGAGCGATGCTAAGTGTGGCAGGCACTCTCCTGGCGCTGCCTCTTGCTTCCAGCAGCTCTGCCCAGTGTGGAGTCTTATCCCCAGGTACGGATAAGGAAACCGAGGCCGGTGAGCCCCACAAGCTGGTGCTGGAATCCTGGCCCGTCTGACTACAGTCTGAGATTTTTCCACTGCCCCAAGTGACTAGAATTCCCAGTGCCAGGTGGCTGGCAGCCTTTGGAGTGTATTTCTCCTCCTCTGTCCAGTAACAACCGTTTGAGCACCTGCTCCATGCTGCCTTCTGCGCCAGGTCATCTCTGATCCTCACAGACTCTTCCCGGGTTGGGTTCATTGTCTCCATTTTATAGGTAAAGAAACTGAGGCTCACCCAGCCAGTGTGGCTCAGTGCATTGAACGTTGTCCCATGGACTGAGAGGTTCGGGTTCAATTCCGGGTCAGGGCACATGCCCGGGTTGCAGGCTTGATCCCCAGTAGGGGGCGTGCAGGAGGCAGCCAATTGGTGTTTCTCTCTCACATCTCTGTTTCTATCTTTCTCTCCCTTCCTCTCTCTCTAAAAAAAGGCAATGGAAAAAAACATCCTCAGGTGAGGATTAGCAACAATAGCAACAAAAAAAAGGAGGCTGAGGTCAGGGACTGCTAGTCCAAGGTGGCAGGCACAGTTAGCAGAATGCTGAGACCAAATTTGAGCCCTGGCCTCCTGGCCACCAGGTCCATTCTGTCCCCACCCCTTGCCCATACAGGCATGTTAGGAGAGTGTCCTGTGATGATATCAGTGCTGGGCAGTTAGATTAAGCTTTATTCTTTTGGGGTCATGGGGGCCTTTGCACGCACTGTGGGGGCCCAGGCCCTGCCTGTCACTGCAAAGCCAGGGAGGCAGTGAGTGGCTTAGCGGTTGCAGGTGGTGCGGGAGGAGATGCCTGGTGGCTGCCTGCTCCCTGTGCAGCTGGGCCTTTCAGTTCTCTACCGTTCCTTCCACCTGCAGCCTGTACACAAAGCCCTGCTTGCTTAGGGGCAGGCTGGCCTCCAGCAGGGAGCAGTGTGCTTATCAGACGAGGGAAACCTGAGCAGAGCTGGCTGTTTAATCAGTGGGGGAGGTGAGAGCGGGCCGGGACACTCAGAGGTGGAAGGAAGCCTCCCAGAGCACTGAGTCAGGGAGAGGCAGAGGCGGGGTCCCCAAGGCCAAGTCCCCTGTGGAGCCCTGCAGCTTCCTGGTAACAGGAGCTTGGGCAAGCCCCTTACCACCCTGAGCCCCAGCCAGCTTCCTCCTATGTAACGCAGGAGGGTGTGTGAATACCCTGGTGAGGACCTGAAGGGTTACTGTGAGGATCTCTATGTCCCTTCAGGTGGGGCACCATTCTAAGGAGTAATGATGCTCAGTGGAGAAGGCGAGGGCGGGGCTACAGAATCAGGGCGGGGACCTAAGTCTCCAGAGGACCGAAGGCTGTGGCACCACGGGGACAGGAGGGAGAGGGACTGTGGAGGAGGACCTAAAATGGGAGTTAACTCCACCTGCCCTGCCTTTTTAGGTCCCTAGGAAGATGTAGGTGCGGTAGGTGGCATGTTGGTGGGAGCCAGGAAGTGCCCAGGAGATGGAGGAAAGAGGGATGGAAGCTGAGACTCTGCCCTGCAGACCCCCCTGGCCCGGGTCCCACCAGGCTGTCAGTACGTTCCTGGCACGCTCACTCCTCTCCATATGACAGTCCCTGGAGGTTGGTGGCTACGCCTGGGAGACCTGAGACTGCTTCCTCCGCCTTGGGAGGGGGGAGAACGCAAAACCGAGTGAGTAATTATAGACAGCCGTGCACCAGGCCAGCCCAAACCAGTTCCCTCTATTCCTGGGCACAGCTCAGAGCCTCTGGTTGGGGAGAGCCAAGCAGAGGCAGCTTGGGGAAGTCAGTGGGGGAGGGACAGTCAGCTGTCGCATGTGCTGCCACTGAGCTCTTCAGAAGAGGCAGACCCAGCTCGCTTTTCTGGATCTAGTGCAGGGGACGAAGGAAGAAGGCTTGGTTTCCCCACCTCAGGGAGTGTGTGGTTTTCTTCATGGAGGCCCCCCTTACATGAGTGACATGAGCGGAGCTGACGGGGGGCGGAGGGGGGGGATCCCATGCAGATTACTGTGTGGTGAGGCAGCTTGGTAGAGCCGTGGAGCTGGGAACTTCTTCCCCAGCACTCTCCCCCTGCCGAAAAGCCTCCTCTTGTGTTAGGGCATGGCCTAGACTCTTCTCGCCTCTGTCTAGCGTGGGATCCCCTGCCTGCCTCCCTAGCCTCACTGTCTACCACTCCCTGCACCATAGCCATCCTGGCTCGTTTCTTTTCCTTGATTGAACTGGCCAAGCTTGTTTCTGTCTCAGGGCCTTTACACATGCTTTAATTGCTGTGTGGAATGCTTTTCCTCCTTTCACGAGTGGCTACTTAGTCATCATTGGAGACTAAACTCAAATCCCACATCCCTGACCCGCCCTTTCAAAGAAGCCCTTTCTCCCTAGCCCCTCTAGTGCTTGATCACTGTGACATTGTCTTCCTGGTTTCCTGTTTATTGAGGACCAGGTTCTTCTTCTTTGTTTACTGTTGCATCCGGTGCCTGGCACATCATAAATACTCAAATACTTGTTCCCTGGATGGCTAAATGGCTATTTGAACAGCTTCTCCTTCAGGATCTGCCAGTGACCCTAGGCAAGTCACTTTCTCTTTTTGGTGACTCAACTTCCGTCTCTAAAAGAAAGAGGATAGAACTCCAGAAATAATTCCCCTGTAATCCCCGTGGAAATTGCAAGAAGGAGACAGGCCTAGTGGCCTGAGCAGGTGGTAATCCCTCTGGCTTTTCCACTCCACAGTTAGAATCATTGACTCAGTGCAGGGTTGGCCTAGCTTAGTCTGTGATCATAGAATTTCAGCCCAGCAGCTGGCAGGCTTTGTGTTCTGTGTCCACTCTGTCCCACTGAGCTGAAACAAACCAGCTGGGCCGGCTCTGCACATTGTCATCACCCAGCTTGGGGCCTCTCAGTGGGATGGGCCACTTCTGCTCATCCAGGGGCCTGAGCTTTTTCAGACAGTGTCTGGGCCTGGACAGGACTAATTCACCCCTCAGAATTGAAGGATCCGTGGGGAGGACAGACCTGTGATGGCAGTCTGAATACATCAGTCTCCTTTCAAGAGAACATTCCAGAGAAGGTCCCCAGGGGTGTTTGCCTTCTGGCCCCAAGAGAGCCTTCTGAAAGTTTCTTTCTGCCAGAACCTTGTGAAAGTGCCTAACCTCTCCAAGGCCAGGAGTGGTTTCTAAAGAAGTCACTTCAAACAGGGACCTCAGGTTCAATGTGTTGGGCCAGTTGGAGTGAAGTCTTGGGGGGGGGGGGTTGCTCAGAGATACTTCCCAGGGACAGCAGTGTTGGGGAGACAGTGTGAACACAACGACAGAAGGCAAAGGGTAGACTTTTCATCTAAAGAGGAGCCTGCCCTGGTCAGTTTGGCTGAGCGATTAGAGCATCAACCCACGGACCAGAGAGTCCCGGGTTCGGTTCCCGCTAAGGGCACATACCTCAGTTGCAGTTCGTTCCCAGCCCCGGTTGGGGTTCTGTGGGTGGCAACCACTTGAGTTGTATCTCTCACGTCAGTGTTTCTCTCTCTCTCTTCCTCTTCTCTTCCTCCCGCTCTGTCTGGAGATAAATGCAAAAATGTCCTTGGGTGAGGATTAAAAAAAAATCTAAAGAGGAACCTTGCAGGTGTTATTTGGATTCAGGAGGCCAGGACTCCAGCCCCAACCCCCCCACACTTAGCCAGCCCTGGGAGGTATTTGCCAAGTGTAGTCACCTTGAGACAGGCCAGTAACAGGACAAGTGACATAGAGAAACTGAGGCAGGTAGTTGAACAAACTGACAGCCATTTACAGCAGTTACAGAAGGTCGCCTCCCTAGAAATAACAGCTGGGCCTCAGTTGTATTTCAGCTCCAGACCCAGAAGAATAGCCAAACCAGGTGGGTGACACCAGGACCAGCTGCGGAGACTAACAACCCCCCTGCCCTGACACTGACCAATCAGTGAGGACCACGACCCTGAAGGAGCACATCTAGAAAACTGGGGAATATTCTGTTGAAACCCTTCCCTGAGACCTCCTAAGATTCCCGCCTGCAAGAGAAATAAAAGCCTCAAGACAGAGGACCTAGCGCTCGCTCTCCTTCCCAGGAGCACACCTGCGCTCCCCGTCCTTCCCCCCCAGGCAGCATCTCCTCGACTCTAAGGGACCCCACGAGGCTTCCAACCGGGCCAGCACTGGGCAGTGGCAGTTCATCCCAGGCAAACCCCTGAACCTGTGCTCAAGGCCCCCTTTTCTCTGGCCTGCCCAGGCTCGTTTCCCCAGCCTTTTCTGGTTTCACTGTCCCCAACTTTAATAAACATCCTCTAAAATTCACTTGGACTCATGTTGTGAAACTTTTCCTGCACAAAGAACCCACACACTATCCGCTGGCCCTCGGCAGACCCGCTCAGGGCCAGGTCCCCTTTCCGGTAACAGCCTGACCTGGGACAGGTCACTGCTGGCTGTTTTCCAAGCTAAGACAGCTTTTCCCCTCCCAGACTCACCTGATCTTCTGAATCATGTTAAAATCCCGATCCCAGGCCCCACCCAGACGGTCCTCCAGGGAGGGTGGCTGTGGGCTCTGATTTGATTATTGTAAGGAGCCCCTCATGAGATTCAGAAGAGTGGCAGGGTGGACTGCGGCACTAGCGGCGCAGTGAAGGCAGGGGCCACACACAGTTCCAAATGACACTGCAGGCCCTTGCCAGCTGGCCGGCTTCCAGGGCCATTTGACACTACAGTGAGGGCTCGGACAGGGAAGACGATTTATGTGGCTTTTAATTGGAAAAGTCCCCCTTTTCTCTTCCTTGAAAACAAAACATTGCTTGATGTCAGGGAAGAGAGAGTCTGAACTCCATGTGGGGGACTCCTGAGCATGTGGGTTTTATTTTACTGATTTTTGTGGGTGATGGGGATTTGAAAAGTTACAGCAACCCCAGAGCTGGTAGGCTCAGCCTGATGGGATTATTGGAGATGGCATGACAGCACCGGTGGGTGAGGTGAGGTACTGATGAAAGCCACCCCCCCTCCCGATTCAGGAAAAGGATGCCCAGTGTGGCTCGGTGGACTAAGCATTGTCCCATGGTCTGAGATGTCCCAGTTTGATTCCTGGTCAGGGCACATGCTAGGGTTTTGGCTCAATCCCCAGTTGGCGTGCAGGAAGCAGCCGATTAATGGTTCTCTCTCACATTGATGTTTCTATCTCTCCCTTCCTCTCTCTCTAAAATAATCAATAAAAACATTTTTAAAAAAAATGGGAAGAGGTTTGGGAGGCCAGGGTAAAGCTATCCCTGTAGGGTACTCTTTATTTATTTGTTTATTTTATTTATTTTTAAAGAGTGGGAGGGAGGGAGAGACACACATCAATTGATTGCCCCCCACACGACCCTGACCAGGGCTGGGGACCAAACCACAGCCGAGGTATGTGCCCTTGACCGGAATCGACCCCAGGACTCTGGTCCATGGGTTGATGCTCTAACCTCTGAGCCAAACAGGCCAGGGCTTTTTTTTAAAATGTACTTTTTTGCCCTGATCGGTTTGGCTCAGCAGTTAGAGCCTTCACCTGCAGTCCGGAGAGACCCGGGTTCGGTTCCTGCTAAGGGCATGTACCTCGGTTGCGGTTTGTCCCCGGCCCTGGCTTCTTCTTTCCTCCCTCCCATTATATCTGAAAGTAAATAGAAAAATATTTTCAGGTGAGGATTAAAAAAAAAAATTCAATCAGGGGCCCACTCTCCCTTCTGGGAGCATGCCCGAGCCTTTACCTTCTTCCTCTTCCCCCACAAGCAAGCATCTCCTAAACTCTAAGGGACCCCATGAGACTTGCAACCAGGGGAGCAGTGGGCAGCAGCAGCTCGTCCCGGGCTAACCCCCTGCACTTGTCCCCAAGGTCCCCTTTCTCTGACTCCAGTGAGCCAAAGCAGCCCTGCCCAGGCTCTCCTGTTGCTTCTTCTATCCTAGGCCCTCCCTTGTTTCACCGTCCCCAGCTTTAGTAAACGTCTTCTCAAAATAAAAGTCAGACAGGACAAACGAAGGGTGTCAGTCTGTCTCCCACGCCTGGCCCCCAGTTCTATAGACTCCGCCTTAGAGAAAAATGCTGCAACTAGTTTTCGGTGTATTTTTCCAGAAATGTTGTTTATATAAACATTTATGCTTCATTTCTCACCCTCTGTTTTTGTTTTGTTTTAACACAAATGGGAACTTTTTATACACATTTAAAAATAGTACTTCTTTGTTTGTTTATATTTTAATATTTATGCCTGGTCCTGATCTGGTGGTGGTACACTTGCAGGGCTGAGAGGTCTTCACGGAACAGCTGGCAGCGCGCAAGGCACAGGATTAGTCACCGGGGAAGGGACGGGGCGTCCAGAGCGGGGCTCTCCCCGCAGGGTGATTTGCGGTCTCTTCCGGGGAAGGGACTTTTAGGGAGCCTGGGAGCAACCCGGGCCGGAAGTGGAAGTGGAGGTGGTGTCAGCAGCAGTCACAGTCCATGGGGAGGTCGGAAGGGCCGAGACAGTGTGAGGGGGTGGGAACCACAGACTCCTGAGCCTGGACTAGATGCCTGGGCTGCAGCTGGACTCAGGAAGCTGGCTTCCCAGGGAAACCATGGGGGACGTCTCCACTGTCTGCTTGCTTCCTCTTTGACACCAGGCTGCTAGATATTCTCCTTACTCCTTTTACCCTTTCTTTTTCCCACCAGAGGCTCATCCAAAACAGAGGAAGCCTGTGAAATCTACGCCAGAGCGGCAAACATGTTCAAAATGGCCAAAAACTGGAGCGGTATGTGGTCCCCGCTGGAACTCCTCGGTGCTTCTTTCTCCCCTTTCCCCCAGCTTCCGGCCCCAGGGCCTGGGAGGTTAGCCTCGCAGCCCTTCCTCTTAGGCTTCTCCGGCATCACGAGCCCATGGGCATTAGAGCCCGCTGGGTTGTTTCACAGCTTCGATCACAGGGCCTTGGAGAGGGGACAGAAGAGTTGAGGACAGATGATTGAATCCAGGCAGACCCACGTGGACCGATGCGTGGTCCGAGGGGTTTCTCCTTACATTCAGAATTTCAGGTTTCCCCGGACTCTGTTTCATACTGCTTCGATCAGTCCGAATTCTGGGCTCAGGACACTCGGCTGGTTCCAATAACACTGATCGCAGTCACCGTTAGTCAAGCACCATACTAAGCCCCAAGCCTGCATTATTAATTGAATCGTCACAGCAAGCCCCTGAGGAGGGTCAGTACCATTCATTACTTTCCCCACTTTGTAGATCTGGAAATAGGGGCTCGCTTCGGCCCCTTGTCCACGGGGCCACGACTAGTGACAGAACAGAGCGCGGGAGCCGGAGCTCTGGCTCCGGAGCCAGGTGTTGCATCTGTCCCTTTGTTGCTTCGTGACCTTTGAAGCTGAGTGACTTGGGTTTGTGTCACAGCTCGGACTGGCCTGTGACCCTGGGGAAGTCACTTGGCCTCTCCTCATTTGTTTCTTCCTCAGTACAACAGGGAGGGAGCTGCAACCAAATAGAGCCGTGGTGCGGGTCTGTGGAGGTCAGAACTCACCGAGGGCAGTCAGCACTCAGTAAATGTGGTGGCACAGCGTCATGCTGCTGAGGGCCTCCACCCGAAGAGGTCACTCCGGGTCGTGTGCCTCCTGAGCGCTCACAACATAGGTTGGTGGGCGGAGTGCCATCCGAGTCATGGCTCTTCTGACTCGGCCCTGACTTGTGGTCAGGCTCCAGGGAGGGGCTCATGCGGCTGGGGAGGTGCCGGGGCCCTGGAGGAGAGGTGTGAAAAGCCAGCGCAGGGAGCTGGCTTCATAACATGACTTCAAACATCAGCAAGACCGGATGGGGGAATCAAACAAAGACATAGTTTGGAACCCAGGGAGGAACTTTCTGACCAAGGAGGAGGTGAAACCTGGAATGGGGCCATGGAGGCAGCATGTAGAGTCATAGGGCAAAATCGATTATTGTCCTTTTCTGAGAATGTTTGAGCTCCATAAATATATTGTGCATACGTCGATGTTTCTCACTCTCTCTCCCTTCCTCTCTCTCCCTCCCACTCTATCTGTACAAAAAATGGAAAAAATATCCTCGGGTGAGGATAGAAAAAAATAAAAATAAAAATAATAATATATTGGCCCTGGCCCTGGCCAGTTTGGCTCAGCGGTTAGAGCGTCGGCCTGCGGTCCGGAGAGACCCGGGTTCGGTTCCCGCTAAGGGCATGTACTTCGGTTGCAGTTTGTCCCCGGTCCTGGTTGGTCGTGCGGGTGGCAGCCACTCGATGTGTCTCATCACGTCGATGTTTCTCTCTCTCTCTCTGTTCCTCTCTGTCCCTCCCACTCTATCTGTATAAAAAATGGAAAAATATCCTCGGGTGAGGATAAAAATAATATATTGGCCCTGGCCAGTTTGGCTCAGCGGTTAGAGCGTCGGCCTGCGGTCCGGAGAGACCCGGGTTCGGTTCCCGCTAAGGGCACGTACTTCGGTTGCAGTTTGTCCCCGGCCTTGGTTGGTCGTGCGGGTGGCAGCCACTCGATGTGTCCCTTCACGTCGATGTTTCTCTCTCTCTCTCTCCCTTCCTCTCTCTCCCTCCCACTCTGTCTGTACAAAAAATGGAAAGATGTCCTCGGGTGAGGATAAAAAACAAACAAACAAACAAAATAATAATATATTGTGCATAAAGCCGATGCTGCATGTACGTTTATGCTCCCAAGCTCATAAAGTACCTTAAAAGAAAGAGTACAGTACTTTTCTTTTTTAATCACATAGATACTGCTTTCCCCCTAAAATTTATAAATCTCTCCCTCGACTATTCAAACAAAATTTCTAGGCTACTATTTTCTTTTTTTTTAATCCAGTGATGTTATTACTTTCTCTGGAAATTTTACACTCAAGTTTCTAGCCCTTAAAAATAATAATGAACTGCCCTGGCCAGTTTGCTCAGCGGTTAGAGCATCAGCCTGTGGACCAGATAGTCCCGGGTTCGGTTCCCACTAAGGGCACGTACCTCGGTTGCAGTTTGTCCCCGGCCCCGGTTGGGGCTGTGGGGGTGGCAACCAGTCGATGCATCTCTCTCACATCGATGTTTCTCTCTCTTCCTTCCTCTCTTCCTCCCGCTCTATCTGAAGATAAATGCAAAAATATCCTTGGGTGAGGATAAAAAATAATAATGATGATGATGATGATAATGAACTCAGACATCGTGAGAAACTGGGTGGCTCTGTCCTGCCGCTCTGCAGTTACAGGCCCTGTCCTCTTCCAGCTCACAGGCCGTGATTAGACTCAGCCGGAGCGGAATGAAGGGGGCAGCCTCAGGCTGCGCTGGAGGTGGCTGTGGAGGTCCCCTTAGCAGTCCCACCCTGCAGGGGGAATGACTCCACTGTCTTCTGCAAGTCACTTTACATGAGCCACATAAACAGCACGGCCTGGGACCCATGGAAGGTGACAGTGTGCAGCTGAGTACAGGACAGACAGGGCTTCAGGTGTGGGGTCTCCCCTTGTCCCCACATATGCAAGATTTGGGAGCCTGCGTCCTGTTTCCCTATGCCCCTCTCCAGGTACCTCCTGATGAGTGTGCTTTGTCCACACAACCTGACTCTACACAAGGGCCTAGAACATGGACAGAGGCAGACGAGTTGGGGGTGTTAGACAGGAAGAGCTGGGAGTCATGGGGGAAAGAAATCGGATTCGGAATCGGGGAGTAAATCAGGGAGTGTTTCCGAGTTGAATCTTATTGCCCTCTCTTCCCCAACACCCCCTCCCATGATTCAGCCTGCTCTCTGCCTTTGAGTGGTCCAGGCTCCCCAGGGGGCACCGCTGGGGTTAGGAGGCCTGAGATCTAGGTCCAGACAGCCCACCAGGCCACTCTCTTCCTTTCTGCGGGGCTCTCTGTGTCTCCAGAGCTCCCAGGGCAGTGCCTGGGTGGCTTACAAGGCCTGGAGCCCCACTCAGGCCGGGATCACTCTTTTCTGTTCCAGCTGCCGGAAACGCTTTCTGCCAAGCAGCCCAGCTGCATCTGCAGCTCCAGAACAAGCACGACGCGGCCACCTGCTTTGTGGACGCTGGCAACGCGTTCAAGAAAGCTGACCCCCAAGGTGAGGGCCGGGGGGCCGCTGGGGCTGGCTGCCCGGAGCAGCAGCTGAGCGCTCTGCAGAGTCCTCGGGTTTCCACGGGCTCTGGCTTTCTCCAGTGGCCGCCACGCAGCAGGCTGGCAGGGAGGCCCTCACGCTTTCTTTCAGAACTGGCTCCCTGCCGGGTGGCATTTTCGTCCCGCTCCAAGCCTCCTCCTCCCCCTTCTACTGTGTGTGCAGCTGATCACTCCCCTTCCGAAGCCTGGGAGCATTTGGGAGTGGGAGTTACATTTCAGACCCACCACATGCCAAGGGGAGAGGAAAATCTGTTCTGTTGTCAGAATTAACATGCAGAAGGGAGTGGGAGGGCTTCTAAGACCAGCCAGGTAGGAGTTGCTGTGCTAAAACGGAGAGGAAGCCATCCTAACCTGGCTTCCCTGCCCCGGGGAGTAGGGGGCGGGGGGTGAGGGAGAAGAGCCTGAGATGTAGTTGCCAAAGAACACATTTTCTTCAGATGACAGCGTGCTGGGGACAGAAGCCCCGATTGGGTCTGACTCATCGTGAGAAAACCATTTTGTCCCACTGGGCTCATCCAGAATTGGAAGCCCAGTGGGTAGCAGACTTTCGATTTCACGGAGCTAGAATTTTAATTTAATCTTGGTGCCAGACACAGGTTGCTAACTTTTGATTTAAGCAAGCAAAGACTTTTTTTTTTTTTCCAAAAGGCCATTTATTGTCACTCTTCTCTCTCAGGAGAATGGGAAAGACATGAATTTTCTTTTTCAAAGGAGATGCATAATCTGGGATAAAGGCCTGTCTTTACCGAGAGGGGACAGCTGGCAACAGTACACAGAGGTCTCTGCGTGGGTCCATGAGCACTGGTTCCACACTGGCGCCGGGACTGTGGGCGGGCCCATCACTGGTGGCACCTGTACTTTTAGTTCCCAGGATTTGATCCCTGTGTAGACCAAGTAGCTTTTCTCTGTCCCCAGACTTGAACGACTAGTCACTCCTCTGCCACCGGGTGTCTCACAGATGTTGGGTCAAGTGGTCACATGATCGGCCCAGGCCCAGCAAGAACCCGAGGGGAGCTCTGGCCAGGTGGCTCAGTTGGTTGGAGCATCATTCCGTATACCGAAAGGTTGTGGGTTTGATTCCCAGTCAGGGCACATAGCTAGGTTGCAGGTTTGATCCCTGGTCAGCGCACATACAGAGGCAACTAATGGAAGTTTCTCTTTCTCTTTCTCTGAAATCAATAAACATATCCTTGGATGAGGATTAAAAAGCAGCCCTGGCCAGTTTGGCTCAGCGGTTGGAGCATCAGCCGGCAGACCAGAGTCCCGGGTTCAGTTCCAACCAAGGGCACATACCTCGTTTGTGGTTCATCCCTGGCCCCGATTGGGGTCGTGCAGGTGGCAACCAGTCGATGTGTCTCTCTCATATTGATGTTTCTCTCTCTCTCTTCCTCCCTCTCTCCCTCCCTTTCTCTCTGAAGATAAATGCAAACATGTCCTCTGGTGAGGATAAAAAAAAACAAAAAAACAGAACCCAAGGGGAGGTCTTGTGACTGGGTAGGTCTTTGTCACTCCCTGTACAGAGTTGAGTGCTGGGCCACAGGCCACGTGGGTGAGGTGACGATGACCCAGGCCATCCTTGGTTTGTTTTCAGCTGCAATCACCCAGAGAAGTCTGTGTGTCCCCCATAGAGTCCCCCCTTGTCCACATCCGTCTGCTCCCTGGGGAGCTGGTCGACCCGCAGGTGCTGCCCTAGCATCTGTGATGTTCAGCTGCCACTCCGAGCAAGGACTTGTTTCTGGGGTGGGAGCCGAGTGCCAGGCTGAGTGACATGTGCTCAGCACCAGCTGCTCTTTGAACAGCCCCAGCGCTTCCCATGGACAGGCCCCACCTGGCGCTGTGATGTTTGTCCTTCCCTGGCTTTTGATCTGAGTTTTCTCATCTCAGCAGGCTCTACAGGGTGTGTGTTGGGTATGGCCTGGGACCTGGCCTGAGGAGGCATGGCTTGTGGCAGTCTTCAGGCTGGTGGGAAAGCAGCAGTAGTTAGGTGTGGTGACAGTCCCCTCTGTCCCCTCCTGGGTTGGTTTCTTCAGGGGTCCGCCAGCACAGTTTGCTGCCCTGGGAGCCGAGGTGGGAGGGGGTGGGTTTGGGGTGGGGGAGCCTCGTGGGAGGAGGGAGGATAGTGGACCAGAGAACGGCAGAATTTGGGCAGAGTTGGGATCCGGTGCCTTGTCTGGAGCCCACAGAAGGGTGCCTGGTGCTGAGGGTGGGGCAGGCGTTAGGCAGCATCCCAGCACCACTGCCTCATGACTGCCAACCCTGGTCACAAGGCTGAGTCGGAGACCACTCCAGCCGGGTCGGGAGAGGGCTCATTTGCATTGGGAGTGACAGCTGCTTTGTGTCTGGGGCCAGGCCAGCCTCACCGAGGCCGTGCAGCTGTGTGGCTCAGTGCGGTCCTAGAGATCCAGGAAGAGCCTGCCCTCCTGTGACCTCAGACAGGTCACTCAGTCTGCTGGATCTGCATTTCCTGGCCTGGAAAAGCAGAGACCACATGAGGCGCAGGCATGCCCAGGGTGGCACCTAGCATGTGATAAAAAATCCACTGAGGGGCCCTGGCTGGTTTGGCTCAGCGGTTAGAGCATCAGCCTGCAGAGCAGAGAGTCCCCGGTTTGGTTCTCACTAAGGGCACGTATCTCGGTTGCAGTTTGTCCCCGGCCCCAGTTGGAGTCAAGTGGGTGGTGGCCACTCGATATGTCTCTCTCATATCCATGTTTCTCTCTCTTTTTTCCTCCCTCTCTCCCTCCTGCTCTATCTGAAGTTAAATGCAAAAAAAAAGTCCTTAGGTGAGGATAAAAAAAAAAATCCACTGAGGGGCAGCCCTCAGCTCACACCCAGCTGGGCCGGGCCTGGGCTCTGAGCCTCCACCCCTTGGCCAAGTGCCTTGTGAACCAGAGCTGGAGGGCCGTTTGGAACCAGGCCCCTTCCCTCCGCAGGTGGCCAGCTCCCTGGGGCCCTGCTGGTCACCTCACCTGCCTTGAATGCCCTTTATTAGTACTTCCTGCAGGAGCCCTGGAGGGCCATCCTCTCCAGAGGCAGCTGGTGCCAGCCCGGGGCCCGAGGCCTGCCAGAGCCACCAGGGCAGAAGGAAAGGATTTGGGTCCTGTCATCGCACTTTCCCTCTGCAGAGCCTGCCCTAAGTGTGGGTCGGGGTGTCTTGCTGCCGCCTGAGTTTCCCAGTCCCTGCCCCTCTCAGGCCAGGGAGGCCTCTTACCCTGCCTGCCGGACAGCTGGGCCCAGGGCTGCACGTGTGGGTCCATGCGTGTGCGCCCAGGGCAGGGAGGGCACCAGGCCCCTTTCTCTCCCCGTTATACCCCATGGCCCACTGCCATGCATTGGATGCCTACGGTGTATCTGGCATTTGCCCCGTTTACCACGGAGGCTAGCTGAGCTGGGGATGGGCGCAGGAGTGGGAGGGAGGCAGGATGGGAGGCAGCTGGAGCCCAGGGGGTGGATTGGGGGCCCTGGGTGAAGACTCCCTGTGTCCCTGAGCCGGGGCCTTACCCTCTCTTGAGTCTCAGCCCCTCCTTCCCTGCCCAGCCTGGGCTGGGTCTTCCCAGAAACCCTTTCCAGCTCCAGTTTTCTGTGGGTAGATCAGAGGCGGCGGGGGGTCATTTATTTGCTCATCCAGGGGTGTGCTGTCCACTCATCCTGGGGATACTCGTGACATGATAAGATAAGCTGGTTGTACCAGTGTCAGGGGCTTGTCTGCCAGCGCTCTTGCCAGAATGTCAGCTGGGAGCCTGCAGCTTTTGGGGACAGCTGTCCTGGAGAGCAGAGAGCAGGCACGAAGGGGATTTAACCCTATGAGTATGTGGTGCTGCCCAGGGGTTGGGGGAGCTTCCCTGCTAAACCAGGGGCACCTTGCTGACCCTGTGGCGCTTCCAGGGGGCTTCCAGCCCCTCTCACTCCCGGCTGCTAATGGGAACAGCTCGCCACCTCTGCCTGCAGGTGTCCCGTTGGACCCAGGAGAGGGAGCGGGTGAGTGTAAGGTGCCTACTGGTCACACCTGCCCCCTGGCGTGGAAGCTGGAACAGGGGTGGGGTGTGCAGAGCCCGCCCCCTGCCACCCAGCTGCTCGCTCCTCATCCTCCTCACCCTCCTCATGGAGTTGCAGCCAATTGCTACTCATCAGTTCCTTCCAGAAAAGCCCTGCTACCGCGCGGGTGTGTGTTCAAGTCACACTCCCTGTTCCCGGCTGTCGTTCTCTGTTGTGTTCTCTCCCTGTCCTCCTCTGTCCCCCTTGCCTCCTTTTCCTCTTCCCTCCTGCCTCGGGCTTCCAGCTGTTAGCCGCAGAACTTGAACCGAATGGTGTACATTCTATGAATGTTTTGGGGGCTCCCCGGGGGCCTTTTGGAATTGGGCAAAACCCCTAGAGCCCCTCACTCCCAGAGCAGTGCTCACAGACACACATTTTGTGAATTTAGGGGCCCAGAGTTAGAGGCCCTTCAGATGCCTCCCTGAGCAGCGAGGCCGTAGCCCTTGGGAGCGGGCACCGGGCCTGCCTTCTGTGTGGCGTCTCAGCCCCGTGGGCCGGCTGACTGGAGACCCTGGAAGCAGACCAGGAGCCTTTCAAATGCCCTGGACTGCAGGTCCAACTTTCATCCTCCGCTCACTCAGACCCTCCTCCTGTGGTCTGTCCAGGCTCTCTGTCCCTCCTCCTCCACCTCCCTCACTCCCTTCCTCCCCAGATGCATGAAAACGATGTTTAAAAAATCCACCCGAGAGCTCATCTCTGTCTGCTAGAAAATGCCTCCCACTCATGCTTCTCTCTCTTCTCCGAATGACTTGTCAGGAAAGCCATTCCCAAATCGAAAATCTTGCAAGAGATAGTACAACAAAGGTAGCCCAATTCCTCCTCTCAAGTGCCACCCCAGCCTGTCTGTTTCATTGGCAAACGTGGTTTGAGGAGCTGGCAGGTTCAGTGCCAGGATAAGGAGGGCACAGAGGGCCCTGCTGAGTGCGGAGGTGGAGGCAAGAGAATGATCGAGATCCCAGCTGGAGGGGCCTCGGTGTCCCACATCCAGCTTCCTCCTGCCCGACGTGGAGGCTGGACAGGTGCAGGGGACCTGGCTGGTTCAGGGTCCTGAAAGGGTGGCAGAGCGCAGGAGGAACCCAGGTGTCCCTCAGGTGTCAGGCTTGGCTGTCCCTGACGGTAAAGCCTTGAAAGATCTGGCTCAAAACACCCGGGGAGCCTGGCCATCGGCTGGCCTGGCACCGCCTCGTCCTGTCCCTGGGGTTACTGGGAAGGTGGTGGCTTTGTGCAGCTCCAGGGAGACGGGAGCCTCGTCAGCCAGGTTCCCCCTGCCCCCAAGCATGTGCCCAGTCAGGCTGCAGAATAAATTAGCCTGACCAAGTTTCCTGGGCTCCGGGATTCCTTCACCTTCCCTGCCAGCTGCTCCCGGAGAGCGTAGCCCTGGCAACCCCATCGATCTCTCCGCAGGCAGCCTTCAGCCCTGCGCCCCCTGTCCCAGCTTCTGCTGAAATGACTTCACCTTCTCACTTCTCTCCCCGCCTCCCTACTTCTCTCCCCAGAGGCCATCAACTGTCTGATGAGAGCAATCGAGATCTACACAGACATGGTAAGGGTCACTTCACTGTGCTGTCCCTGCTCCTGGTCCACCCCATTGGCCCAGCCTCCCCCTTCAGCCCAGCACCAAGAACAGGCGGGCAGGGAGAGGGGGACCCAGGGGGACTTGGTCCCCTGCACTGGGCTGGGCTGTCTGGGTCCTCACCCAGCTCCCACCAGCCTGGCTACCGCTTGCTCCCCAGGCCCTGCCGTTAGCTTCCCCGAAGGCCATCCGTGTCTTCGCTCCTGGGAGTTAGGGCTGTAGGAAGTATGTGTCCTTTTCCCCAGGCCCAGCCTTTCCCACCAGTGTCCTGTGATTACCAGCTCATGGCAGGCCAGAGGGGGTTGTGGGCAGTGCCCAGAGTGGGCACAGCCCCTGCCCTGCCCCAGAGAACATTCCCATCTACAGACGAGGCCCAGAGAGACGGCTGCCAGCCTGAGGCCAGGGAGCCGGGACTGTGGACCACATCCAGGCTCGGGCTCCTGTGAGCTCTACTTTTTGTCTCTTCTAATTCTACTTCCGGCTCGTCAGACCCCTCCCCCAGGCAGGAAGAGGGTCCTGACCCCGCTGGCTCGTGACTGTGCTATAGTATTACAGTTACAGCAGTGACCGCAGCTGCCACCAATTGACCCAGACACTCAGCCGAGTGAGGTGGGCACTGTTGTTAGTCCGTTTGACAGTCAGAAGGGTCCAAGACAAGGGAAGCGACTTGCCCAGAGACACACACCTGCAAACAGGAGTCACCGAGACCAAAACTAGGCCTTTCCTGCTGCCCTCGGCGCAGGGGTGGCCGTGAACTGGCCCCTGTGTGCGGAGCAGCTGGACGGGCACCGGGACCTCCTCTGGGTGGAGCAGGAGGGGTTGCTCAGCCCCTCTGAGAGCTGAGGCCTTTTTGAGGAAAGCTCTGGACCTCCACAGTGGAGGGCGGGGAGGGGGTGGGAGGTTGCTTGTGAGAAGAGCCACCTTGACGGTCACGCTCGGGAAGGGGATGCCTAGGAAAGGTTGGGCAGTGGGGACGCCGGAACCCTGAGCCCTGGGTTCTCCAGACCTTCTTCACCAGGTGACCCTGGGCCGGTCCTACCGTGGCCCCTCTGGGTCGCCTGTTAAATGCTTCCTCAGGCCAGGACTTCTGCCAGGCACCTCTGCACATCTTACCTCTGGTGCCGCCCCAGAGGCTGGGTGTGGAGTGTCTTGCCCACAGTCACCCGGTCGGGGCAGCACTCGGACCCAGGCCCCTCACTCCAGAGCCTCCCTCTTAAGCGCCGTGCCCTTCGCCTCAGTCCCCTCTTCCGCACACCTCACCTCACCGGGAGCCAAGCTTTGGTGACGGGTGGGGCATGGTTGACCTGGGCTGGCACTGGTCACAGACACGTCCTTCCTGTGTCCCCCACAGGGCCGATTCACGATCGCAGCCAAGCACCACATCTCCATCGCCGAGATCTACGAGACAGAGCTGGTGGACATCGAGAAGGTGAGGGCCAGTGGGGCCCCTGGCCGGCGGCCGGGAGGGGCTGCAGCAGCCACCTGCGACCTCTGTCCTGTTCACTCGGGGGTCCTGACTGAGCACCGGGAAAGGGGTGTGGTACTGGCAGAACTTGGATGAAGGGCTCTGGCTGTGTCCCAGGCGTGTCCGGGGCTGCATTGACCCTCCTCACCCTCCTCCCTCCCCGTGTCTCCCAGGCCATCGCCCACTACGAGCAGTCTGCAGACTACTACAAGGGCGAGGAGTCCAACAGGTACCCGGGGCCCCACCCCACCCTGCCCGCCCAGCCCCACAGTGCTTTGTGACCAGCCACCACCAACCGCCCTCGCCTCTGCCCCGCACAGCTCAGCCAACAAGTGTCTGCTGAAGGTGGCCGGGTACGCGGCGCAGCTGGAGCAGTATCAGAAGGCCATTGACATCTACGAACAGGTGGGGCAGCGGGGCTCCGAGGCCTCTCTGCGGAGGGCACTGCTCCCTCCTGTGTGCCGGGTCATCCCTGCCCTGACCCTGCCTCAGCCTGGCTGAACGTTTTCTCCACCTTGACCCCCTGTGTCCTCATCCTCTCCCTGGCCCAGTCCAGCCCGTAGGCTGGGGCTTCCTGGCTGGGCCGAGTGAGACTGGCCGAAGACCCAGAGTCGGGGCGGGAACGAGAAGAATCGCCGAAGGCTGGGGTGGCCAGAGGAAGGGGGTCAGGGAAACGGGGTCTTTCCCAGGCAGGAGGTGGGCAGTGTCGCCCGGCTGGGTGGGCTCCTGTCTGCTGTGTGGGGAGAGCTGGCAGGGCCCGGCTGTCTGGGTGGGTTCAGCTGGCCTCGGAGAGAGTGGGGCGGGCACTGCCTCTATGATCCTGCAGCCTCTGCCCACCGACATGCCAGCCTCCTGTGGGGCCTGATGGCAGGGCCGCCTCCTCTCACCATCTTGGGCACCTTGGGAGGCCCACAGACACCTGGCCCTGTGGCAGCACCCCCCTCCCCCATCATGTCTTGGTCCTTTGCCGACTTCCCTGGGGCTGGTCCCTGTCCTCCCTGCCCTTGGGGTCCCGGCTTAGCAGGTGTTCTCCTGGGGCACGGACCCAGCTTCCAGCTGGCCCCTGAGTGCCTGGCAGTGAGCCTGGCCCTCTGGCGGCCTGCCGTGAGCTCACAGTGCAGCCTCCGTGTACCCGTAGGTGGGGACCAACGCCATGGACAGCCCCCTTCTCAAGTACAGCGCCAAGGACTACTTCTTCAAGGCGGCCCTCTGCCACTTCTGTATCGACATGCTCAACGCCAAGGTGAGCCCCCCAGAGCTTGCCCCACTTGCCAGGCGACCGCCCCAGGAGCACTAGGGCCACTGTCACTAAGCCAAGCCCCCTCTCAACCCCTTGGAGGGAGTGAGCCCCTCACTCACCTCTGGCCCCTGACAGTCGGCACAGGAAACACTTGTTCTCGCTGCTGTGTTTCTGTCCCTGCTGTCACCTGCCCGCCCCTTAGCCTCTGAGTGTCCAGTTCCTGGCCCACTTGGTGCCAGGCTCCTTCTCTCATGAGAACACATTTTGAATCCTTACTGCTCCCTGTGAGGTCGGCATCACTGCCACCCGTTTGGCAGGGGAGACACAGGCTGAGAGCGGAGTCCCCTGTTCAGGGCCACAGGCTGGCAAACAGCAGACTCCAGATCTCCCTGGCTCCCGGTGTCACCATTTGACCCACAGCCTGCATGTCTGCCACCCATCTTCAGGGCCTCCTGGCAAGAGAGGGGTCAGTGCTGGCCAGGGGCAGGAAATGACCAGGGGAAGGAGTTGGACTCTGTAATCCGGGATTTCTAGGGGGTTTCCAGCCGCCCTAGCCTCATCCTGCGTCTGGCAGGGTGGTTGAGACTAGTTCACTTCAGATCCCTGCCCACCACTTACCCTGTGCCCTGAGCAGGTCCCTGCCCTCTCTGGGTGTTGCCCTCCTTTCAAAATGGGGGTCATCCTCATTTGACCTTTCCTGGGTCCTCATGATGGTTAAAGGTGCTGGCATGAAGAAGTACTGTGGCAGTTGTCATTTGCCCCCTCCCCTGGGTGAGCCAGGTTCAGGCAGGGGCCCTGGGCACTGTCCCGGGAAACCCTCTCCATCCTCCCTCCACGCCAGCTGTCCCTGCAGCCAGACTGGCGCTGAGCTCAGCTCCGTGGAGGTGCTGCTAGGCACAGAGCCAGGTGCCATGAGGCGGGGGGAGGGGCACAGAGAGCTGACTCAGGGTCCAAGCCGTCCCTAGATCCCCCTGCATCTCAGGCCAGCGGCTTCAACAGCCCCTTTGTTAGCCTGTCTCCTTCCTTCCTTCTTCCACCCTGGCCGCGCTCAGCTTGCTGTCCAGAAGTACGAGGACCTCTTCCCTGCTTTCTCTGACTCCCGCGAGTGCAAGCTGATGAAAGTGAGTGCGGGGCCCTGCCCTGCCCCTTTCCCCTCTGGGCCTGGACTCGGGTGGCTGGGAGCCGGGGGTGGAACCTGAGGCGTGGCTCCAGTGGGTATGATCACCGAGATTTTATAGTGGTGCTCAGGGGTTGTTTTTATTTTGTTTTCCTTCTGCTACTTGGTTCTCCATTTTCCGGATGAGACCAGACTCAGGCAGCTATGGAGCTAGTAGGGGCTGAGCTGGGACACACACGCGTGGGTACCCACACGCACGCACGCGCGCGGCCTGTATCCATGAGTTTGCAAGCAACTGCGGACACGGGCAGGACTGGAACATAGCCCTTTCCTCCCTCTCAGCATGGGAGTCCGCAACTGCTTCCACCCAGATGGTGTGTGCGTGGATCCCACCCAGGCCTGTCACAGGCCAGCCCGGGCCCTGACCCCCGTCTGCCATTTTCTTACAGAAATTGCTAGAAGCCCATGAAGAACAGAACGTGGACAGCTACACTGAGGCGGTGAGTGGCCAGCAGGGTGGCCGCCCTTCTAGACATGCTCTGCCGTGAATCTCACCCTTTTTATCTCTGGCCTCGGCCCCCGGCTGTGCATTCCAGTCTGCAGTCATCCCAGAATCTCACAGGGAGCCCCAGGAGGTGCAGGGAGTGCTCTCCCCATTTTAGAGATGATGGCACTGAGGCTGAGAAGTGTGCTTGGGCCCTCCGGGGCAGAGCTGGGCTCAGGCCCTCATCTGTCCGCGCCACTTGGAGTGTCCCCGGGTGAGCAGCTGAGAGCCACCTCTCATCAGGCGCTTTGGGAGACCCAGAGGAGCAGAGAGGGAAGGAAACGAGCGTCATCCTCCCCGTCTGAGAGCAGGAGGGCGGTGGAGCCGAGGGTGGGGAGGTGACGTTGAGAGGGCCCACCCTCCCACCAGCACATTCCTCATGGAACAGATGTTTCTAAACGTTCTGAACTCGGTGTGCAGCTCAGACCTGATGTGGTTGTCTGGACCACAGCTGGGCGCCCGTCCCTCTGGAACGCGAGGCCCCTGATGATGTGGACTAGCTCCCTCGGTCCCTCCGGCTCCCAGCGGTGGCAGGACGTGGAGAAGCTCCGCGTGGAGAAGGGGGATGAAGGGCGTGGGTTCGCTCAGGCCTCCCCTGCCTGTGGCACTCAAGACAGGCCTTTGTCACATCTTCGGGCCTCAGTTTCCCGTCCATAAAGCAAGGAAGCTGGACCCTTTTTTAAAGCTACAAAATTAATTTTTTTCCTGAAAGGAAGTCTTACGCTCAGAGTAGTAAAGGCCCAAAAGGGAGCCACCTGGCCTGCTGCCTCCCTTGCTCCTCCTCGGGCCACAGGGCAGGGACACATTAGAGAACTTTAGGACCAGAACCTTGGGCTCCAGGGCTGGGACAGGGAGGGAGCCTCGGCCGGGCGTGCGATTGGCCACCGGTTCCCATAGTCACTGTCTCCGGTGTGCCGCAGGTGAAGGAGTACGACTCCATATCCCGGCTGGACCAGTGGCTGACCACCATGCTGCTGAGGGGCAAGAAGACCATCCAAGGCGAGGAGGAGGACCTGCGCTAAGCCCCGCCCCGGCGCCTGTCTTCCTGCCCCTCTGCTCTCCCCAGCAGCCCCTCCAAACATAGCGTGAGCCCAGAGAAAAGTGACCCGGACCTCAGCTGGGACCCTCCCTCCACCCCGCGCCCCAGTCTCACAGGCCACAGTGCAGGCTCACACTGCGTCCGCGCTCCCGAGGCCGGGGCCTGCTGGCTAACCAGTCCCCCCTGTTCTCGTTGCACCTCTCCCCCACCCATTTATTTAAGCCCAAGAGGTACCTTTTCCCCCCCAAAACACAGAATCCGTGACGTAGACCTGTTTGCTATGGGTGCTGCCAGGGACGGGGTCAGCATCTGGCCCCTCATCTCCCGAATGGCTGGGGCTGGGTGTGAGGTTGGTTTCTGTCTCCCCACTTCTGTCCCCCAGCCAGGCGCTGAGCACATGTGGCTGCTGAGATGTGCTCTTGCCACTGGGGGTGGGTCCCTTCCCCCCACCCAGTGCTGGGAGCCTCCCCAGCCCCTGCAGCCCAGGCCTCCCAGGAAAGCCCCAGGCCCTGGAGCTCAGGGTCGTCCTGCACCCGCCCCCACCTGCTCCTGCCGTAGTGCTTCGGGGCTTATCTGTTGGAAGCTGCGGCTGGCCCCAAAAAGAGAACAAAAAACAACATTTTTGCATGAGTCTTTCTTCCTCTTCACCTCTGCTACCCTCTTCTTCCTTGGGAGGGCTGGAGTCCTGTCTTCCTGCGTGCCCCCGTGGCTCTGGTCACCCTGTGTGGGAGAGGGAGAGGAGACCTGGGAGCCCCAAGGATGTTGGGTTTGCGGAGGAGCCGCGAACCTGGGAATCTGGAACACCCATCTTCATCTGGGGGCCTTGGTTCCCTCGGCTGGGTCGATGGGTAGCAGTGCCCCTTGGAGCTGGCCGGAGGGTGAGTGCAGCAGTCGGGTGGAAGGGTTAGGCCCCTGCATCTTCCAGCCTCGCCCAATTCCACGCCCTGGAGGGAGCACTGGAAGCCCCAGTGGCACTTGTTCCATGTGTCGCAGGACGGGGGAGAGAGTGGGTACGGGGAGTGGGAGAGAAGATGACAGGATCTCTTTGCACAGGAAAGGTGGGTGAGAGCCACCCACCTGCAAACTCCATGGTGCAGGCCCGTGAGTCAGGTGCACCATCCAGTGTGCACGTACTTCCACCCTTCGTGGGGGGACAGCTCGGTGCCCGGAGGCAGACAGTGTTCCAGGGCAGGGATGATGCTGAGGGGCTGCCTGGGAACCAGCTCAGTTACGACTCCTGAGACGTCCTGGCCGGTTTGGCTCAGCAGTTGGAGCGTCGGCCTGCGGACCAGAGAGTCCCGGGTTCAGTTCCCACTAGGGGCACATACCAAAAAAAAAGAAGAAGAAGACTCCTGAGACCTGAGATCGATTACTGATGTCTGCCATGGGCACAGGCTGAAGAATGGTTTAAGAAGCTATTTCTGCCATTTGTGACTGAAATAGTAATTCCCAATCCTTGGCTGTGCTTGCAATCATTAAAAGTACTTACGCTTGGATCACACCCTTATAAATTGTGGTTTGATTGAGGTTCCCCACTCTTGTTTTTCGTTTTTATTTCATGAAAGTTCCACAGGTGATTCAAAGGTACAGCTAGGGTTGGGAACCACTGAACGAACAGGACAGTTCCTTCCAACCTGTAACTTCATTCATTCCATTTGCTCAACAAATACTAAATGAATGTAGTTTAATGGTTACCACATGAGGCAGAAGCCTGAAAAAAGCATTCTTCAGGAGCAGCAGAACTAGACCCCACATACTGGTCGCTCAGCGAGTATTGACTAAGCACCTACTGTGTGTCATGCCCTGGTCTAGATCCTAGGAATACAGCATTACATAGAGCCAGACTCTGCCCTATGTAGTCCCCAAAGGCAGAAGTCAGATTGACACACTCCTTTTCACCCTCCACATCCAATCTGCCTTTGAGAGCTTTCCTTTTATGTCTCTTATGTAACAGTGTCTGGCAGAGGGCCTGGCACGTCGTTTGTGGATGTTTAACACAAGTATTGCATGCTTGCTTTGTGTCAGGCCTTGTAGTCCACGTGTGGGGATTTTCCTGGCTTCGCGGATCTTGCCAGAACAATCAGCCAACTCCAGAGACGATATACAGGTGTAGAGTCCTCAAGCCCCTGATGCCATTCTAGGGACAAAACACACAGGAACCTCCTAAGACCGCAGAGTTAGAAACACCTGGTTTACATCCTGTCCATCACTAGCCTATCAGCCAAGGGACTTAACTTCCTGAACCTCAATTTCATCCAACATAAATTGGGCTAATAAATAAACCTCTGCGGGGTTGTTCCAGGGGTTGTACGTTTGGAAGGGATGTGTGACACGAAGTGCCCGGTAAATGCTGAACAGATGCATGCAGGGTGGTGGGTCATGAAGACTCAGAACCAGGGCCCACAGGCCCAGCACAAAGCCTTTCAATAAAGGAGAAGGTTATCTGTCGGGACAGATAGCTAGATCTGTCTTTCTTTCTCTAGGGAAGGAAGAATGCATTTCACCATTTTTAAAGTGATATGATTAAAATAAACTATGGAGCTCTCGTCTGGGTTTTAATACTGACCGCTGCTTACTAGGTGTGTGATCTTAGGCACGTTCCTTTACCTCTCTGTGCCTCAATCCCTTCATCCATAAAACACACTAACTACCTCAGACTGCCTGTGAGTTTTAAATAAATTGATAGATGGGAAGCGCTTAGAACAGTTGCTGACACATTAAGCTTTATGGTGGTGGAGATGCTCCCGTCCACAGTGCGCAGGCGCCTTGGGGCAAAGTCTCGTGGGAAGCCCGGGCAGGCCGGCTGGCGGCCATCTTTGTCAAGGGCAGCGGCGGCCGCTTCCCGACGTCGTCAGTCTGCGCGAGCAGCGGGCACCCGGAGGTCCGGGTCGCTCCGGGAGCGGTGGGTGGGGCCGGGCGGGTGTGGTGGAGGTGCGGGATGGGGGAGGCGGCCGTGGCCGCGGAGCCCTGCCCGCTGCGCGAGGACAGCTTCACGCGCTTCTCGTCGCAGAGCAATGTGTACGGGCTGGCGGGCGGCGCGGGCGGGCGCGGGGAGCTGCTGGCCGCCACCCTTAAAGGCAAGGTGCTGGGTTTCCGCTACCAAGACCTCCGACAGAAAATCCGGCCGGTAGCCAAGGAGCTGCAGTTCAATTACATACCCGGTGCGTGGCGCTATGGGGCCGGAGGGCCGGGAAGGTGGTGTTGAGAAGGCTTCTGAGGCTGTCTGAGCTGGATCACTATGATGGGGAAATGGGACCAGGGCGATTGAGGGGGGACAGAGCTGAAAACCATAAGTCTGTGGGGTCAGAGGGCAGGGATAATAGAGGCCTATTGTGGTTAGGATTCGGGATCTCCTACCAAGGTGTTGGTGATCAGGACTCAGTGGGACCCAGAAGTCATGATAACTGCAGAGGTTAAAGGTTACTGAGTCCTAGAGGTCAGGGGTCACCATGATTGGTGATATGGCCTGAAACTTGAACTTTGAACTATCCCCCCAGTGGATGCTGAGATTGTCTCCATCGACACCTTCAACAAGTCACCCCCAAAGCGGGGCCTGGTTGTGGGAATCACGTTCATCAAGGTACCCAGAGACCCCCTCCGCCTTCCTATCCCCTCCTCCTTACACACATGGTGGATCCCACTGAGTCTGACCCAGATCCCTCCTGCCACCCCTACTCTCCCCTGAGGCCAGTTTCCTCCCCCAGGATTCAGGGGACAAAGGCAGCCCCTTCCTTAACATTTACTGTGACTACGAGCCTGGCTCTGAGTACAACCTTGACTCCATTGCCCGTAAGTGTGGCCTGGAGGGGTGGAGAGGGCGGGAAGGGGGCCTGTTGGGTTCCGCAAGCCCATCTGCTGTGCTCCTCCTACAGAGAGCTGCCTGAACCTGGAACTTCGGTTCACTCCTTTCCAGCTGTGCCATGCAGAGTAAGTAAGCCGCAGGCGCGATGCAGGTGTGCTACAGTAGGGAGCGTGCGCTCCTGCGGGAGAGGGAGAGGGGCAGGGGCTGCAACAGACAAGACCACAAACCTTCCCATAGGCAATCACATTCTGTTTTTGTATTTTTGAGCACCGTGCATTTAAGGTAAGTTCGTGAACCAGACTTGGCTGATGGACCACCATTTTATTGTCTCCAAACTGTATAATCTGAGAATCAATTGAGCACCTATGTTCTAGATATCTAGAATTCTCAGGCTCTCGGGTTCTAGATTTGGACATTCCGAGAGCCAGAAATGGTGTTTTCTAGAGTTGCAAGCTCAGATTCCAGGATCTGAAAGTACGGTTGTGTTTTTTTTTGTTTTGTTTTTTTTAATCCTCACCCGAGGACATTTTTCCATTTTTTGTTCAGATAGAGTGGGAGGGAAAGAGAGGGGGAGAGAGAGAGAAACATCGACGTGAAAGGGACACATCGAGTGGCTGCCACCCGCACAACCCAACCAGGGCCAGGGACAAACTGCAACCGAGGTGCGTGCCCTTAGCGGGAACCGAACCCGGGTCTCTCTGGACCGCAGGCCGACGCTCTAACCGCTGAGCCAAACCGGCCAGGGCTGAAAGTACGGTTGGATAATTCTGAGGTTCTGGCGTGATAAAGCCCTAACATTGTCATATTTCAAGGAACTGCAGTACAGACCATCTAGAATACTGAGGTTCTGGAATTCCCAGAGTATGAAAATTCCCTGCTAGAGCTCTGGATTCCATCCTGGAGCACCAATGGTCTAGCACAGATGTTAGCAAACTTTTTCTGTAAAGGCCCACGTGGTAAATGTGGTAAATTAGGCTTTTGAGCACCAGACAGTCTCTGTCACAACTACTTGTCTGTCATTATAGCAAGAAGGCAGCCATTGGCTATGTAAATGAATGGGCATGGCTGTGTTTCAATAAAACTTCATTTATAAAAACAGATGGTGGGTTGGATTTGGCCTATGGGGTCCTAGTTTGCCAACATCTGGTGTAGTAGGTGAGAGTTCTAGAAACCGATGTGCTGGATTCTAGGATTTGGATGTTCTACCATCCTGAGTCCGAATATTCTTGAGGGCAGTTTCTACAAGTTGTAGTATTTGTAAGGAGACAGGTTGCAGAATGAGAACACTGGAGTCCTGGGCTACTGCGACCCATTCTAGCACTCCACGTTCCATTCCTGAATCCCGTCCGGAATGAGGATGCTAGCAGATGCGGGCTCTAGGAATGGAAGGTTCTCATATGCTGACTTCTCGTACAGTTCTGCATCCTGAGATTCTAGCTCTGGATCCAGTGGCTGGGTCCCAGCATGTCAGGGTTCCTGCAGATGAGGGTTTTGATAAGAGGGTTTTACCCAGACTCTGCCGCACTCGGGTCTGCCACACTGGGGTCCTAGATTTCTCTGCTTGCAGGGTCCAGGTCGGGGATCAGCTGGAGACTGTGTTTCTCCTGAGCGGGAACGACCCGGCCATTCATCTCTACAAGGAGGTGAGGCGGGGGGGCGTGGAGGGCAGAGCCCTGCTGGGGTTGTCATGGGGTGGCCACTGACTCCCAGCGGGGGTTGGGTCTTGGTTCCCCCAGAACGAGGGGCTGCATCAGTTTGAAGAACAACCCGTGGACAACCTCTTCCCAGAGCTCACGAACCTGGCCAGTAGGTAGGAGAGCCCCCGGAACATCCAGATGGGAGCAGGGCAGGTGGCCTCAGAGAAATCAGGTGGTGGGACTTGACTCCTGGAGAAATTGGGTGGTGAGGATTACCTCAGATAAGTCAGGCAGCAGTGGGGTCCCAGGGCTCCAGGGGGGGCCTAGATGCTCCTGGGGGAGGTGGAACATGGGCTGGGACCCGGCCAGGGCCTCTAGCCGCTCTGTCCACCTCGCCCACCAGCGTCCTCTGGCTTGACGTCCACAACCTCCCTGGCACATCCCGGCGACTCTCAGCTCTCGGCTGTCAGAGCGGTTATGTCCGTGTAGCCCATGTGGACCAGCGGAGTCGAGGTGCTGGCAGGGTCGGGGCCAGGGTGGGGGTGGGGCTGAGGGCTGGGGCAGGGCTCTGAGTCCTCGCCCCCCACGCAGAGGTTCTGCAGACGTGGACGATCCTACAGGACGGCCCTATCTCCCGAGTGATCGTGTTCAGCCTCTCAGCCCCCACAGGTGAGCTCTGGACATGGGGAGGCAACTCTGCAGGCTTGGCTACCCCAAAGTGTCCAGCTCCCCATCCTTCCCTCCGTCCCTCCCGCGTGCCTCGATCCAGCTCCGGGGCTGCAGTGTGTGTCCCTTCCCGCCGCTCCACGCCCTCACAGTTCACTTCCAGCTCCTGCCCCTGTGGCCTCATCTGTGGGCCTGGCCTCGTGCCTTTCCCTCCGTGGTCTGCTCTTCACCCCTCACACTCTGGCTCGCTCTGCTCCCCTCCCCTGTGCACTGTCTCGTATCCCAGGCCTTTCCCGCGGACCCGCGCCATCCCCACTCAGTCCCACCTTTCCCCCACGCCGCTCTGTTCCTCTTACTGTGGTCTGTCCTTCCCGGCTGTCTCCCTCGGCCTGACCTCTGCAGTCTGTCATCTGTCCTCCAGGCTGATGTTTGTCCTTTTTCCTCCCACGGTCTAACCTCAGACTTTCTGAATGGTCACGTCGCACCTGTTCCTCCTGGTGTCTGACCTCGTCATTCTCTCGTGGTCCAACCTCTGACCCTCTCCCTATAGCACAACCTGGAGTCTTTCTCCTGAAATCTCACTGAGGGGCGAGGGGTATGAGGAGGAGTCTGGACCTGTCCTTCAGAGCTCTTCATGTTCTTTCTCCAGAGACCACGGACAGGCCACAGCGGGAAGAGTACAGCTTACTCGTGGCCAGTATGTTGGAGCCCGCAGTGGTGTACTGGTGAGGGCCTGGGGCCCCTGAGGCCATCTGACCTCATCTTTGCACTTTGGTGTAACCTCGTCCTTCTCAGCAGAAAGTCCCTTTGGCTGGGGTTGTTCAGGGCTGGGCAGGTGAAGGTGTTCGTGTCCTGGGGGGTGCAAGTGTTGAAGTCTAGAACTCGTACAGGCTGTGTGGAGGCCTTGGGCGTTGAGATGTGTGCTGTCCCTGGAGCAGGGGACAGCGTGTGCTGGTAGGTGTGGGACAGCGGCCTCGGTGTGTGAGGAAAGCTCGATTTGTAGCATTTGCCAATTTCCATGGTGTAAATACTGCAGCAGATTGCAAGCCACTGACAGGGTGCCAGCAGGCTCGGAGAGCTTCTGTTTCCCCGTCAGCTGTGGCACACCTGGTGGGCCCTGGGGGTGTCCCCTTGGGGACCGAGCTCTCCAGGCTCCATGGGGTGTCTGGATCCCCAAGAAAAGCCTATCGGTTTCCATTTGGAGTGAGATGTCCCACCTCCAGCGGGGAGTGTGAGGGTCCAGATTGGGGAGTAGCAAGCGGACAGTCTGAGTGAAGGATTTGAGTTCCTTGGGGGATATGAAGAGGACCAGAGTGGAGGTGAGGGTGTCCAGGCTTCAGGAGGGTGTCCAGACCTTTGAAGTGGAGCTGTGTGGGCACCTGGCCGGGGTCTGGCACTAAGGGAGGGGGGCACTGTGGTCCGACCTCAGTTACCCCCTGCGTTGGGAACCCTCAGGGACCTGCTGAGCCGGGGCCTTGAGGACCAGCTTCTCCTGCCTGGCAGTGACCAGTTTGACAGCGTCCTCTGTGGCCTGGTCACCGATGTCGATTTGGATGGGCAGCCAGAAGTCCTGGTGGCCACCTATGGACAGGTAGGATCTGAGGGAGGAGCCGACACCCGCCTGTGCCCTCCACTGCCCCGCTCACCTGTGTGACCCCACCCCCGCCCCCGGCAGGAGCTGCTCTGTTACAAGTACCGCGGCCCCGAGGCCGGGCTCCCCGAGGCCGAGCGTGGATTCCGCCTGTTGTGGCGAAGGAGCTTCCCCAGCCCGCTGCTGGCCATGGCTCACGTGGACCTGACCGGGGACGGGCTGCAGGAGCTCGCCGTGGTCTCCCTGAAGGGCGTGCACATCCTGCAGGTAGCCAGCTCCTCCGGGGGCCCTGGAAGCAGAGCCGAGGTGGGGTTTCAGACCCCTGCTTCATTGAGGGCATGTGCTCAGGGAACACGTACGGGGGCGTGGATTCCCCCACCTTCGGCAAGGGGGTTGGCTGCAGGCCTGGGGGGTCATCTCTTTCTGGGAGGGAGCAAGGACAGCTCCCGGGAGGGGGCGGCCTCTGGTGGAGGGGGTTCTGATGCAGCACCTGCCACCCTCAGCCTCCATAACTTTTTTTTTGTTAATCCTCATCGATTTTATTTTTCTATGATTTTTTTTTTAATCCTCACCCGAGGTCATTTTTCCATTTTTATTCAGATAGAGTGGGAGGGAGAGAGAGGAAGTGAGAGAGAGAAACATCGACGTGAAAGGAACACATCACATCGAGTGGCTGCCTCTCGCACAACCCCAAGCGGGACTGGGGACAAACCACAACCAAGGTACCTGCTCTTGGCGGGAACCGAACCCGGGTCTCTCAGGTCCGTGGGCCAACACTCTAACCACTGAGCCAAACCAGCCAGGGCTCCATTGATTTTTCCATAGAGTGGAAGGGAGAGAGAGAGAAACATCGATGTGAGAGGGAGACATCGATTGGATGCCTCCTGCACAACCCCAGCTGGGCCAGCAGTCGAACCTGCAAACCAGGCACGTGCCCTTGACCGGGAATTGAACCCACAGCCCTTCGGTGTGCAGGCCGACACTCTAACCACTGAGCAGCCGGCCTCCCTAACTTCTGTTCTTCATTCCTCTTGCTTTGCCCACCTCTGTCCCTTCCCTGTGGCCTGGCCCGGCGCTGCCCCGTGATCTAACCACCGTCCTTCCCTTTGCTCCGTGATGGGTGGCGACGTGCCCTCCCGCCCCTTCTTCCGCGTGTGTGACTGGCGTCCCTCAGCTGTGGGCTAAGCAGCAGCTGCTGAGTTTCTGGCTCCCGAGTCCCACCTCCTGCAGTGCCGCCTCCCGCCCCCCTCCACAGCCAGTCTCCACTCTCTGCCCAGCCACCTGGACCTCCCACAGTCTGCCCTCTGACTTTCCCTTCGCGGTCAAGCCTGTGAACTGTGGTCTGCTGTCCAGCTTTCTGCTGCGCTTTGACCTCTGACCCTGCCACAGCAGCCTGACAGCCGTTACCCCCGTTCCGGTCTCATATCCAACCATCCCAGGGGTCCCGGGTCACTCCACTGCACTGGCACCTCCAACTAGTACAGTCTGATCTCTGACCTTCCCCCGGGCCCAGCCCCCACCCCTTAGGCCAAGGTGCTTCGTCTCCTAACAAGGTGCTCGCTTCTCCTTCTCTCTGGTCCGAGTCCAGCCCCTTCCCTGCGGGTCTAACCCTGCTGCCTTCTCTGAGTCTCTGCTTGGGTTTGTCCTGCAGTCTGTCATCTGGCCTCGGTTAGGTCTCAGGAGAACTGAGTAAAACGGAATGAGGTTAGACCCTAATAGAAAGGGCCAGGTGGCTCAGTTGGTTAGAGCATTATCTCCATGCACCAAGGTTGCGGGTTCGATCCCCAGTCAGGGCACATACAAGAATCAATCAATGGCCCTGGCCTGTTTGGCTCAGCGGTTAGAGCGTCGGCCCGCGGACCAGAGAGTCTCAGGTTCAAATCCAGTCAAGGGCATGTACCTCGGGTGCGGTTCGTCCCCAGCCCTGGTTGGGGTCGTGTGGGAGGCACCCACTCGATGTGTCCCTTTCACGTCAATGTTTCTCTCTTTCTCTCTCTCTGTTTCTCTCTCTCCCTCCCGCTCTGTCTGAACAAAAATGGAAAAATGTCCTCGGGTGAGGATTAAAAAAAAGAATCAACCAATGAATGCATCAATAAGTGGAACAACAAATCGATCTTTCTGTCTCTCTCAAAAAAACTCAACACGTTTAAAAAGAAAAAGAAAGGGCACAGGTCCGCCCCAGTGGACAGCACTGCCAGACCGCAGGGGACGAGGCTGTGGGAGACAGTGGCGGGCGGGCTCCCCTTCACTGAGCTCGGACCAGCCCGTCACCCCGCGTCACGATCTGTTCAAGCCGTTTCACTGGGATCCCCTCTGTCCTTTCTGTTAGGGTCTCACCTCAGACTCCCCGGCCAGGATCTAACCCTGTCCCTCGGGGGGACACACTCCTCTCTTGTCCACTTGGTGTGCGCCTCCTCTGTCCTGTTGGCCCGTCCTTTTCCGCAGTGTGTCTCCTTTGTCTCTGCCTGTGGCTGACCTCAGCCTCTCTCCGTGGCCGGCCCTTCCTCCCATATAATGCGGTCTCTCTCTTGTATTTTGGTCCATCCCATCCCGTCCCTTCGGCCAAGTTCTAGCCTCGGACCCGTACAGTTGGTCCAGGCTTGTTTCCTCCTGCCAGGAATTCACTGAAGGCTGTTGCCTGGGTCTGACCTTCACCCCGCCAGAGACCCGTTCCTACCGCGCCCGGGTTTGCCCTCCGACACCTGTCCATGGCTGTGGCCGAGCTCCCAGCGTATGGGGTGGCCTGACTCCAGCCTGTCCCTTGTCCCCCTTGGTCTACCCCACACCTGCCATTGTTCTCAGCCCCACCCTCCTCTCCTTCCCACAGCACAGCCTGATCCAGGCCTCGGAGCTGGTCCTGTCCCGGCTGCGGCACCAGGTGGAGCAGAGGAGACGTCAGTTGCAAAGGCCAGGGGACAGGGTGGGCCCAGGGCCTGCTGGGACATAGGCCTCCTGAGCACCCACCCACTGCCCACATTGGGGTGCTCACCTCCAGCCCCTGCAGGAGAGGGAAGAACCCAGGCCGCCAGGGTGGAGCTGTGAGTTCCCAGGGTGCCCTGTGGCCTCACCTAATCACTGCTCTGTGCCTAAGGTCCCCATTTGAAAATGGGATGATCTCACCCAACCCCCTTTCGCTCCAGGTGAGAATTGACCAGCCACCAATTAGTATACATCCAGAGGAACTGAACTTTCCATTTTCTTCATTGTTTTTTTTTTTGAATCCTCACCTGAGCATATTTTTACATTTATCTTCAGACAGAGTGAGGGAGGGAGAGAGAGAAACATTGATGTGAGAGAGACACATTGATCGATTGCCACCTGCACGACCCTTGGAGCCGGGGATGAACCACAACCGAGGTGCGTACCCTTGGCCAGAATTGAACCCGAGACTCCCTGGTCCGCAGGCTGATGCTCTAACCACTGAGCAAACCAGCCAGGGCCATTGTCTTTATTCTTTTGCTCAGCAAGCATTTGCTGAGAGCCTGGGACCCTGTGTTGGGTGCTGGACTCGCCCGGAAGAATGGAGGAATGGGGGGCATGGGAGAGAGGATCCGGGGTGAGACCTGGAGGCAGGGCTGAGGAGAGAGCAGCGTAGACCTCGGAGGGAGGAGATGCGGTCAGGGCCCAGCAGAAGGGCTGAGGCCACGCCACGGGGACACAGTGCCTTCAGCCAGCGTGCCACAAGGCTCTCTCAAACATGCAGTATCTGACTGTTAGTCAGGGGCACTGACCTCTTTTCCGAGATTGTCAAATAAAAAAATGACAACAGCCAACACAACAGTAGCCGTCTGGTGTGAACGAGTCAAAATTATACCTTTTTTTTTTTTTTGTCAGATCAGCAGGGAAAAAAGTGACATATTTTTTGGTGCGCCGCAGGTTTCGGTAATTAGTTTGTGTGCCTTGAGATGACAGAGGTTGGGAATCGCTGCTTAAGGGAAGGGCCTGAGGTTAGGCCCCGGGAGAGAGCAGAGGTTACATCTGCAGGCGGGGCTGCGGTGAGACCCCAGTGGGAAGCCCCGGACCTGAGGTTAGGTCGCAGGAGGAAGATGAGCAATTGAGCCCCAGGGGAAAAGATGGGGGGGACCCCTGTGAGGAAGCTGTCAAGCTGCAGCAGAGGGTCTGAGGCTAGACCCTTAGGAGTAATGCTGAGGTTGGACCCGGAGTCCGGGGCCAAGGTTAGACCCAGCGGGAAGTCGCTGAGGCGGGATCCGAGCTGGGGGTGCTGAGATGGCACCCGGGATGCACCATGCAAGGAAGGATGGTTAGTCCTGAAGGAAAAGCCCAGGGCAGTGGGGACCCAGGGAGACAATGCTGATCGCCACCACCCTGGCGGTAGGAATTCCCCCCTTGTGGGGCACCAGGAGGACTCAGCCTGCATGTCAGGGACCAGAGGAGGGCCAGGGTGACCAGAAATCCTGCCCTCTCCCACCAGAGGCCAGGAACAGAATCCAGGTCAGGAGGGTTGGGGAGTAATTCCTGAGCAGGATCCAGGCTGGTGGTGAGGGTGGGCTCCTCCCTCCCCAGGCTAGGGGGTTGGGTGGGACTCCTGCTCCCCGAGGGAGAGCTCATTCTGGCCATCTGCTGCCTGTCGTGGAAGTTCACCCATCAGTCCGACCACCCACACGGACGGTGAAGGCCAGGCCACCCATTCTCCACAGTGGGATTTTAGGAGGTAGCCCACCGATTCTTGGCAGCCCTGTCTTCACATCTAGAGCCCCGGCCCCAGTGTGGGAGATGGCAAGGAGGGGTCATCTTCCACTTCACACGACCAGGGTCTCTCCCTCCCGCCGCCCACCTGCTGCATCGCCTCTGTCCCGGGCGGAGCTGGGACCCTGGGGGAGACTCTGGTGAGTCTAGTCAGTGATGAGGGGGCCTGTGAATGTGTACGCCCTAGAGGGGGGAGTGTGCAGGTGTGTCCACCTCCAGGTTCCTGAGTGTGTCCAGGAGTCGGCCACCCACCTGGTCCTTTGCCCTTTGCGTCCTGGCTTCTTGCCAGGTCCTCGGTCCCGGACAGCAGTTAAAGCTGTAGAGCCTGAAGCCACGCTGCATCACTCTGCCTCAGTTTCCCCATCTGTAAAATAAGGCTAGAACGTCTACCTCACGCGAGGGTTAGTTGCAGCAACATGTGTCAAGCACTCGTGCAGAAATGTTCCTTCGACGCCTGGCAGGCGGAAAGGGCCAGTTGAGTGACAGCTGTTGCTATTATTACTAGCCGGTGCCTTTGTGGTTGTTTCTGGCTGGGTTGTGAGGTTATGTCTGCTGGCACAGCATGAGTTTGAACATTCTCATCCTCCCCCCTGGTTCTCTGAGCCTGGAACTATTTGTAGCTATTTTTTGCGGCTTTGGCCCATATATGGATCAGAGACTGTATATGTGTTAGAGATGGGGGTGGAGGGTGCCTCTGAATGGCCCCCCCACGCACCCCCCAAAACATAGCGCCCTCCGCCGCTGTCCCGGCCTGTGGTGCTGAACCCGGTGGGTGGGTGGGAGGCTTGGGCTGCCTCCTCCCGCCCCTCCCTTCTGCAGGCGCCTCCCCAAGCCTCCCGCTGCGCCCCGCCTACCCTCTCCCGCCTCTTCCTCCTCCCCTCCCTGCGCTCCTCCTCCCCGACTCCAGCCCCGCTCCTTCTCCTCCATCGATCCCCTCTCCCTCCCCTCTCCCCGCTCGCCCTCTCAGTCTCCAGCTCCTCTCTCTCTCCCTCTCTCCCCCTTTCTCTCTGGCGGGCAGAGGCGCCCACCGCTGCCAACCCCGTGCTGGGGCCACCTTGCCCAGGCTGTCGCTGCAGGTAAGAGACCCTCAGTTAGGTGGGGATGGGGGAGGGACAGTGCTACCCCATCCTGGGGGGGGGGGCGTTTGTGGAGCCAGGAGGCGCTTTTCCCAGAACTCGTTCAAGGCGGGTGGGGGGCTGCATATCCCAGGTGGGGCTACCAGGGCCCTTCGGAGGGGTAGGGGGTGGGGGCGCCACCAGCAGCCAACATCCTCAGCCCCTCCTGCGTTTCAGGGAGTATGGCAGGCTGGGGAGGGGGTGCCTGCTGGGCACCGAGGGGGTGAGAACACCCCACCCTGTCTGGGGACGCTCCCCCTCTGCGCTCTCTACCTCCGCCCCCGACTTCCTGTGTCTGGGTCTCTTCTGTCTGCACATCTCTCAGGGGTCTCTGCCCTGCAGAGTCCCGTGGCCTCTCCGAGTCCCGTTCCCTGGATCCCTCTGGTCTGCTGGTGCCCCTCGGTGCCTGGGTCTGTTCTGTGCCTTTCCAGCGCTCTCTCTAGATAAGTCCTTGTTTTCTCTCTGCCTTCCTCTCTCGCCATCTGTGTGTTTGAACTGTCTCGGCTTCCCCAGGTCTCTGTCTTTCCGTCTCCCCATGTCTGAGTGTGTCTTCCTCTGCCTTGCCCACCCCTCTCTCCTCTCCATCTGTCTCGAGGTGTCTGGTCTCCGCCTGCTCTCCCTGGTAGCCGTTAACTCTCCTACACACCTTTGTCTCCGCCCCTGGCAGGGGGAGACCTGGAGAAAGAAGGTGGGCCCTGCAGAGTGGGCTCCCCCAGAAGGCGAGGAGTCCCCCAAACTCTCCCTCATTCAGCCGGGGTCCCTCCCATCCTTCCGGCCGGCACCCACCCCATGCATTCCCTGAAGACAGAGCTCCTGTCCTCCCCCGCCTGGTTCCTGGCATCGAGGCCAGTCCTTAGAGTCTAACCTCCCCATTCCTCCTCACAGGGAGTGGACCAGTCCTGCCTGCAGTCTAACTTTCACACCTCTTGCTGTTTGTCCATTCACGACTCATTTATCCTTTTGACAGTTTCTGAGCACCTTTCCTACTCCAGGCACAGCACTAGGTCCTGGCTCAGGCCAGGCTAGGCCAGTCCCTCCTGTAGTCTCACCTCCATCCGCTCAGGGTGTGCCAGCCTCAGACCTGCCTCTCCGTGGGGATGGATCTCAAAAGCTTCACTACTCCGAGAGGGCCCTTCTGAGTCCAGAGGTCCCTGGCCAATACATCGTCTTCTTTCCTGGAGGGGAGGGGGCCCCAAAAAAGTGAGCAAGAATGAGTGACGAGGGGAGAGGTGTGAGTGGGCTGTGATGGGTGAGCCCTCGTGTGCCCACGCGGGGCTCTAGAGGGGTTAAGGAGCACCCGTTAGGAGTCCCACGAGTTGAGTTTCCACCTCTGCCCTGCCCCTGACTTGAAGCTGTGTGGCCTGGCCAAGCTCTTTCTCTTCTGGACTTCAGTTTGCCCATCGGAGTACCAAAGCCCTGAGCTGTGTGTGTGTGTGTGTGTGTGTGTGTGTGTGTGTGTGTGTGTGTGATCCCCAAGCCGAGACCTCACACGGCTCACCTTGGAGCAGTAAGTGCATGTTTAAAGCCCAGGTCCCCACCTGGCACATGTCTCTCCACCTTCCACATTTTCCCCAGGGGCAGCGGGCACCCCCTGCCCCACACACCAGCACAGTGAGGAAACACCACAGCCCTCACCAGTGTGAGGGACATGAGGGGACAGGGTCCCACCCTTCCCTCCTGCCAGACTGGACCCCCCCAACCCCCTTAAGCTTGCAATCCCCCTTGATGGACGGGACCAAAGTCCCAAGGCAGGTGAAGCAGAACCTGGGCGCTCACCACTGACCCAGCTGGCCACTGGCCCACGGGAGTGCAGAGATGGCCCGGGAGATGGTGCCGGCCATCTGCCCGCCCTGGCTTCCTCCCTGTCCTCAACCTGATCCCTCTTGCCCCTGGATTCTAAACCCAGATTAGGTTTCAGTGCTGCTGAGGGACAGAGGCAGCAGCCTTGAGGCGAGGGAGCCCAGCTGTCCCCGGCGACAGGGCTCAGACCTCGTGGTTGTTCATTTCACAAATATTTATCTTGCACTTTCTCTCCTCCCCTGAGGCCCCAGTGAGAGGAAACCAGGTTTTTGAGGAAAGGGGATGGAACCAGACTGCTTTGTCCAGCCCCTGGGCAGGAGGAGCAGGCACGGCACCCATCGCTGACCCTGCCGTCCCTTGAGGATGAAGGGACAGGTGGTCAGACTGCAGGGAGGACCTCACAGGACAGGCCCTTCCCGGAGAGAGGGAGTTGGATGCTTAGATGCTGGACTCCCAGGTGGCCCTTGTTCCTCCTGGAAGCTGAGCAGGAGGAGGAGGGAGGGAGGAGAGCATGAGTCTTTGCTTTGGCTCCTGGTGGGTTTGTAATTATGCCTAAGTCGTTGCTAATTAGGGGGCTGCTAATTAGACATATCATTAGGGG